AGCTTCAGCAGGAGACGGAGCAGAACTGCAGACGGGAACTACAACAGGTGCATGGGCAACTGGCAGGTAAGGTTTGGGAGCATGTGGCTCATGGAAGGCCCTGGGTTCTGGGCTTTCCCTCTCAACTATTTTCCCACTTCAGGACTTCGGACCCGGATGGCCAGCCTGCGCCAGGGCTGTGGTGACCTCAGAGGACTGGTCAGCACCTTTACCCAGAGCTGTCAGGGTTCGCTGAGTGAGGCCCAGGGCCAGGTCAGGAACCCTCTTCTCTTCACATCATCTGTCTGTCTGGGTAGCCTGTTCACTGTTCTTCCAGGGGAGTTCCTATTATTTCTGGAGCTTCCTGGCTCTAAGGAATGCTCATACTTGGGGGTCAGTTGTAGGCTTTTAGACTAGAAGAGCTTATTTGTGACTTATGATCTCATGTCTATCCTGTGCAAACTGACAGTTGCTGAGAAGCCTAGAAGGATAGATATGATGTCCTTGTCAGGCCAACCAAAGGATGTCCCCAGGGGACCAGAGCCACTGAAAGTTGTGAATCACTGCAGCTGGGGGCTACAAGGGCTCTTTATTGCTCCCAGCATTCCACCCTGCTTGGAGACTCTGGGACACCTGTCTTTGTCATCCTCAAATCCATGTTCCCTCAGGTATCCTGGGCCCTGGGGGCATTGTCAGCTGGAGGGGCTGGGACTCAGCTCCCTGAGGGGCAACAGGGGCCCCCAACTGGATGCCCAGGGCGGCTGCTGGAGCTTAAGGGTATGGCAAACTTGGGGAGCAGAGTGGCAGGGAGGGTAGGCTGGAGAGAGTGGAAGCTTTTTATGCCTCAGTGGTGAAAAGGCAATCTGCTGACCTGATCCCCACTGCAGGGAATATTCGGGTGCTATGTCGGCTGAGGCCAGGTACACCCTGCAGCCTGGTGAGTGTGGAGGCTGGACCAGGGGGCACAGTCACCACCTGCTATCGAGGGCGCCAGCGTCGTTTCCACCTGGACTGGGTCTTCTCTCCAGATGCCAGCCAGGAGGAGGTGACAGCCACCCTTGCACCTATTCTGACCCTTCCTCAGAGTCTCCCAGAGTCCAGAAAAGGCTCCTTCCCCTTCCAGTCTGTCCACCTATAGAAGGGAGGGTGAATCAGTTTTAGCCTAAAAGGGAAGGGAGCAGCTGGAGGGTTGGGGAGTGGCAGCCCAGCTGGACACTAAGGAAAATGAACCTATCTGAGATTTACAGTTACTGCTCATGTAGAACTGGCCACAGAGTACAGCTGGGTGCCACAGTGGTAGGAACAGTGCCATGACCCACAAGTGATGCCTCCTCTAAGGCTTCCATGAGAGATCAGTGCTCCTCCCTGGGGTCCAGGCTCTTCCCAGCTGGGATTGCATTAGCCCTCCTTGCTTTGTGGCCCTAATGCAGGTTGGGGGCCATGGGTGAGCAGGCCAGTGTCCAGCCCCAGCACTCCCCGACTCCCTTGCTCAGATCCCATTTTTTTCTCCTCTTTTTTTTCCTGCCAGACACCAGTAGAAAAGCAGGGCTCAAGTCCCAGCCTGCCATCACCTTTCTAATACACGGTTTCCATCTACATATAAACTTTGCTCCTGGAGCTTCTATAACTGAAATGGAGGCTCAGAGCTGGGAGAGGGTTAGGTAAGGGACAGGGCTGGCAGTGATGCACACCCAGGTTGCCTGCTGGCCCGACAGGTCATTGCACTGTGACCAAGAACCTCTCCTGTGTCTCTCATTTCTGCACCACCACCTGCCGTGCCTCCTTTGCCCAATCGTGGACTCTTATCCCCCATACTGGCAATTTTAGATTATGGCTTCATGGCCATTAGCCAAGACTTTAAGCAGAGGTGACAGCCACCCAGTTACCAGCAACCTTCTACAGTGAAAGTTGGTTATGTCATTGCCCAAAAGGCCACTCTTTGTTGGTCATGGTGGTGCACATCTGTAATACCAGCTACTCAGGAGGGTGAGGCAGGAGGATTTTCAAATTTAAGGTCAACTTGGACAACTTAGTGAGACCTTATCTCAGAATGAAAAATAATAAGAGCTGAGATGTAGCTCAGCTCTCAGGTAGAGAATCCCTGGGTTCAATCCCCAATACTACAAAAATAAAGCAAAAAATGAAAGCAACTATTATGTCTATCCATCTGCCCCTCAGTCACCTCTTTGCTCCCCTCAGGGCCAAGGTTCCAGTAGTCCTGGCTGGTTACTACCCTCCATACCCCCAGAGCCTTTTCTGGTCTCATCCTTCTCATCCTTTGTGTGCCAAGTGCTGCTCTGGACTGCCTGGACACTGCCCACTAAGCCTCAAGACAGGTGCCATAGAGAGGAACAACACAGAAGAGCCACAAAGAATGAGTAATTTGCTTCCAGTCACATCTAGGGTTGGGACCAGGCAGTCAAGCTCCAGCACCTGGACCCTTGACCACTGCTCCCCAGGACCACCTAAATGGTCATCAGGACTCCACATTATTTGCACAGGCTGTTCCCTTTTTGTCACGTCTCTTTCCTTCTTTGCCTCACCCATTATTGCAAATACCACCTTTTCTAGGGAGGCAGAAGGTATCTTCTGGGCAGCCCCCTGTGCTCCCCTGGAGGCGTTTCCCTAGCAAATTGTGTTCTACACAAACTTTTTTCACTGTGCTTTCCACCTTTCAAGGTCCTAAACAGAGACCTTGGAAAGGGCTCAAGACACTTTTTCCACCTCTCCTTCATTCAGGTCTTTGGAGAGCTGGAACCAGCTGTGCTGTCCTGCCTCCAAGGATACAGTGTCTGCATCTTCACCTATGGCCAGACCGGGACTGGAAAGACATACAGCATGGAGGTGGGGTGGAGCTCACACCTGGGGGGGGGGGGGAGGCCTCAGAGGCTTGAATGTGAGCCCAATGGGGTATTCCACACCACCTTCAGGGCCCACCTGAGGACCCAGGCATAGCTCCCAGGGCGCTGCAGTCACTGTTCAGGGAAATGGGGACTGGAGGGCAGCACCGTGTGACCCTCAGCATGGTGGAGATCTACAATGAGGCAGTCAGGTCAGGGCTGTGCTGTAGGGGTGGTGGGCTACTATTTGCCCTGGCCCAAGACTCCTGCTACCCTTAGAATCCTGGAACCAAACTCTCCTGGTCTCCCCAGGGACCTCCTGGCCCCAGGACCTCCAGAGCGCCTAGCTGTGAGGCAGGGCCCAGCAGGACAGGGGGGAATCCAAGTAGCTGGCCTCACCCACTGGGACGTGCCCAACCTGGAGACTTTGCACCAGGTAAAGATGCCCTCTAAGGCCTCTCCTCTTGCTCCCATCTGGGATTGGGGACTGTGTACCAGCCGCGGCCTCATCGCTCCTAACAGATGTTGAGCCTGGGGAGAAGTAACCGGGCCACTGCCGCCACTTCCATGAACCCACGCAGCTCCCGATCCCATGCTCTCGTTACACTGACGCTGTGTGCAGCTTCTCCACCGAGCGCCCCAGGCACTGCAGGTAGCAAACACTGCAATGCCTGAGCTTTTGCAGGGTTTCCAGTGTGCCTGAAGCCTGGCCTCCCTTCATGTAGGGCTTGCTCACCTTTGCAGGCACGCTGCACCTGGTGGACCTGGCGGGATCTGAGCGTGCTTGGAAGGCGGGAGCTACTGGCACGCAGCGAGGAGATCCCAACAGTGCCCAGCGTCTGCGGGAGGCCCAGACTATCAACCGCTCGCTGCTGGCGCTGGGAGGCGTGATGGCTGCGTTGCGTGCCCGCCGGTCCCACGTGCCCTTCCGCGACTCGCAGCTCACACGTCTGTTGCAGCCTGCGCTTGGTCCGGGTACCACTGCTGTGCTGCTTCTACAGGTGTGCGCCCCGGCAGCAGCGGGTGGAGTGCAGGAGGGTCCTTTGTGTGTGAAGCACCGCAGGCTGGCCCACAAGCACTTTTCTTCCTCAGATCTCTACGCGGCCAGAGGATCTCGGGGAGACCGTCTGTTCGCTCAAGTTTGCGGAGCGAGTGGGTCAGGTGGAGCTGGGACCAGCCCGGCGCCGCAAGGCACCACGCTCCGAGACCCCCTCCTCCCTCAGTACCGACACCCCACTTACTGGGACCCCCTGCACTCCTACGAGGTCTCCTGTCAGCCCTCCAAGCCCCAGCCCTGACAGCGGCTCATGCTCTGCCCTAGGGCCCTCAGGGGACCTTCCCCCCTAGTCTTGGGTGGAGGCCCTGCACAAGAGACCTGGGGATATAACTCTGCTGGCAGAGGCAGCAGTACAGTTCCTATATCGGGTCTCCCAAGACAATCTTCTTGACTTCTGGGGGCCTACTTCTCTCCAAACTTCCAGAGTTGCTCCCTACAACCCCAGCCAGAGAAGAGCCTGGAGAATTGATTTTGCCCCTCCCCACTGAGTCAGAGGCCCTCAGCTCCCTCCTTATCACCATTTGCCGTTATCACAGCACACAGCAGGGGATCCCAGAGCCACAGGAACCAGACATGACTCTGGCCAAGGAGTTTCCCAGGTCACCACCTCTGCTCCAAAAATAAGACTAGGCATTAAAATGCTGTAAATTCTTTTAATGTTACACCACTACCACGACTTCAAGTCTATGTAGGGTCCAGTCTTTATTCCCTAACCCTTTCCCCAAAAGGTGCTACCTCCTCAGACAGTTGAGGGATGGCAGGACTTCAGGCTGGACCCACCATTAAGGAGCTCCCTCCCCCAGCCTGGAGCCAGGAGGGAGGTGACAGATGGTGATGGATGAATAGATAGATGGGCTAGGCCTGAAGATAGAATCATGATTTGCTACTCCAGGTTGAGTCCTGCTCCTTTAGCATCGCCCCTGGGTGTAGGGGGAGGCAGAGAGGCAAGACTGACCAAGCCCAGGTTGGTGCCCAGCTGAGTGTCAGCTTTTTCTGGAGCAGCCCAATAAACATTGTGGACTCTCATTAAGCAAGGCTGGAGCCTATTGGGGCTACAGACATCTTCCTACCTTGGTTCCCCATCAAGGAGATGGGGAGAGAAGCAACCCCTGCTCTAGAAAGCTTCAGAGGCTGTACCAGGAAAGCAGCCAGCCTGGAGCAGGGGCAGCCATGTCACGAGGGTGGCTGACCCACACATCATAGATGCTCTTGTTGGGTGGTACTCCCTGGAAGAGAGTGTCTAGATCCCAGAGCAGCCTTGGGGACCCTTGGGATTCAGAGGCCACCCCCCAGTAGGCTGGGCTGGTTGAAGGTGGACACCGGGGACAGGAAGTGGATGGTAGTGGGGCTAAAGGCATTACCACATTGGGTGTGTAGATGGGCAAGTAGGAGGTGGGCAACTGTCCCCACAGGGAGGCCCTGCATCCCCCACTGGACAGTACCCCGGCGTTGGAGGTACTTTGCAGGTAGTGCAAGGGCCAGGTTCTGGGCTCTGGGGATAAGCCTGAGGGCCCAATGATTGTCCCCTGGGAAGTCTCCCTCTCCATTCCTGTGGGCACTGGGAGAGGGCAGAGAGGCCACAGAAGCCTTTCAGAGGAGGGTAAGTGTGGAGTAGGCACCACCTCCTCCCCACTGCAGCCTGTGTCTGCCTGAGTTGGGTTGCTCTGTCCAGCCTGGCTGGACTGTTGGGGCCAGGGTGCTCTCTCCCCGGGGTCCCTTAACAGGGACTTGATGCTGAAGCCTTCGCTGGGTGGCGTATGGGGTGTGGGCGGCCGGTAGGTCTGGCCATGCAGCACGTAAGGGCTCAGGTCCTTGGCGAATGCTCTGCGGGCCTCCGGGTTCTGCCAGCGCCGGCACAGGGCTGTGTTCTGCAGGCGTAGCGCTTCTGCCGGGATGAGGCTCACATCCACGGCCCAGAAGTTGCCCTTGGCCTGAGGTTTCGCAGGGTCCTTGGGCACCTGGGGGGGGTGGTAGGTTTGGGTGGGGCCGCCTAATCCCGGATGCTTGGGGCTTACTCGCCCGCCCCGCCCCCCGGCTCCGACCTTCGAGGGCCCCACCTTTCGGAAGCACGGGTTGGAGGAAAGGTTATGACGGATGGAGTCCTTCCAACCCTCGTAGTCATCCCTGAAGAAAGGGAACACGGCCTGGACCTGACGGATGATCTGAAACCGGGGGTTGACCGGCGCAGTGAGCCGAGGCGGGGGGCAGCACCCCACCCCTCCCTCACAGCCCTGCTCAGGGGCACCCCCCTCAGAGGAAACTTATGCGCCAGAGGGAGACGCGGTGGGGAGGGTCCGAAAGAAAGGCCGCTTTGAGTCCCTCGGCTTCCATGACTGGTCCCAGTGGCAGAGCTGGGTGGGCCAGGTTGGGGTGGAAGCTACACCTGAGAGTGAGAGAGTTGGGGAGCCAGTCCGGGAAAAGGCCCAGCGCGGGGCATGAGGAAGGCGGGGGAGCCTCTCACCTGGGCCAGCTTCAGCCTGCGGGAGGGTGCAGCCTGAATTACCAAGGCGATCATCGCCAAATAGGTGTAGGGGGGCTTGTCATGCCGCAGGTATCTCTTCTTTCTTCTCTTGGGGGGCTGCGAGGCTGGCTCTGGATCCTGGGGCCCCATGCAGGGGAGACTGTAGGCGTGGGTAGGGGCCTGGCCTCGTGGAAGGCTCAGGACTGTGGGGTAGTGTGGGGAGGCTGGGCCTGGGGCCTGAGGCCTGGCTGGGGCAGGCAGGCCGGGCCCTTTATCATTCGGATGGAAGGGGGAGGGGAGGGAGGAAAAGGCTGTGGGGGAGGGGAGTTGCAAGGGCTGCCACAATTAGCAGGTTTCGGTTAATCTGGAAGGGAGGGGCAGAGAGGATTCCAGTTCGGACTTCAGGTGACCTCCTGAAGCCACAGTTCCCCATTCCCAGGTTGCCTTTGGAAGCTCGGCATCTCCCAGGAGCTTGAAGGAAAAGCCCTTAGTAGGAGGGTACCACCTCCTCCTTATTTTGTCGGCCTAGGGCAGGTCTCAGGCTCCCCTTTAACAGATAGGAATGACTTTTTGTCCATGCCAGTTGCCAAGAAGGGACGGGTGTTCAAGACAAAGCTGCCAGTAGAACCTGGGTCCTATGGGCTGGACTTAAGGAACATGATCAGAAACACTTCCTGAAGGGAAAGACTGTGAAGTCCCCATCCTAGAAGCAAAATGGGAATGGGTACAGTGAACTCAAGTGATTTTTCCCCAGGAATGTGCTACAGAGTTCAGATGAGCCCCTTCTCCTTGGCTCTGCACCTGGGGCCAGTCAAAACCTGTGATCTGTACCCAGACCCAAAGCCCAGTTTCTTCTCCCTATACCAGGCAAGCTTGCCCAAGAGAGCTTCAGAGTCAGGGCACTAGCTGTAGTGGTTGGTGCTGATACCAAAGCCAAGGGCCCCTAGATGTGCAGGAACCCTTTATTAGCATGCTAAATGGTTGACCTGCAGCATACAATGGGTATGAGGTGCCAAAGGCAAAAGACAGGAGTCATGAGTGCACTGGAGGAGGGACTGGGGCGGAGGTGGGAGATGAACGTGGGGCACCACACTGCTCCAGCCACCCTCTGGTGGTGCTCTTTCTCACTACCAGACTCTCCCTTCAGACAGCATCTGGCTTTCTCTAGACTCCTATCACCTTGGCACTCTCGGGGCTCTCTCCTCTCTTCAGTTCCAGGACTCTCACTGAGGGGTCCTTGTGTCTCAGGAGGGTAACACCTATGGACTCTTAGCTCTACTTGACAAGGACGTTCTCTCTAAAAGTCTGAAGGTGTTCTCCACTGGTCCTCCTTTGCTGCTAGGGTAAAGTGCTCCTTCTAGCTGCTCTTCTCTGACACACACCTCTCTCTCTCTCTCTCTCTCTCTGTCTCTGTCTCGCTCTCGGGCCCCCAGCTACCACAAGAGCTGCTGCTGCCCATTCCTCCGGGCAGTCCGGCCCTGCCGTTTTGGCACGCGCTCTTCACTCCGCCCACCAAGGCTCTGCTTTGATCGACAGACTCCTACTACCCTTTCTTCAAAGCCTAGCACGAATAGACGACCACCTCTCCGGATCATTTGGCCACTTGTCCTTCCCACCCACCCGAAATCAGGGGACGTTCGCGCTACCGCGGCGCCCACCAGCGCAGAGGAAAGGCGCTGCCAGCTGCGTGAACTCCCCGGGCCCCGCCTCGGGCAGCGTGACTCCACCCCCCGGCTCCCACGGGGCACTGCGACTTCCGCTCGGGACCTGGCAGACCGGAAGTGTCGCGTTGCCATGGCGAGGCCGGCGCGGGGCCCGCCCCCGCGGCGCTGAAGGAGCGCGGGGCCGCCTGGCCCGCCGCGGGGCCGGACTGAGTGCGCAGCCTGCGGGCCGAAGGTGACTCGGGGCGGCGCGGGGAGGGCGGCGAAGCTCGGGAGGGCCGGTGCGGAGGAGGCGGGCCGCCGCGGAGCGCCTCTGCGGCCCCGATCGGGCAGCGATTGCCAAGGGTCCGGAGAGGCTTCCGGAAGGGCCGCTTGCGGAGGCCACCAGTAGGCGTGTCCCATTTGTCCAAATGGCAGGTGTGGTTCTTGCAGCCTGCTGGTCATGTAGGCAGTACCTATCTAGGTCTGAATTTCAGATGTGGACATTAGGGCCACAGAAAAGACACTTGTCCACTCTCGGTGCGGGCTTTGGAGTCAGGGGAAAGGAGAAATTGGAGCCACTCAGGGATTCAAGGGACCTCACTTTTAGGCGGGACTGTGGGCGACGCTTCGCGAATTGGGGTCAGGCGTGAAGTACTAATCAACCCGTGAAAAGTGCTTAAGCTGATTTCGCCTCTGGCTGAACCAGACCGAAAGCTCAGGGCCTGGTGGGGTTGATTTCCACCGGTTCAACGAGAAGAGGTGTGTATGGAGTTATCCCAGGCGCAAGGGAGCCAGAGCAAAACTAGCCCTCCTTTCTTCCTGGTCCTTGTTTGGGATGCAGGCGGAGGCCAGGATACCACGGCGTTCTCTCAGGCTCAGCAGTGACACCTCCTGGGGGTCTTTGCTCCCCAGGTGTTTCCTGGAAGGACTAGGGTTTTCCTGAAAGATTCCTCTTGTCTGTGGCAGCCTGGTATCCAGAGTCCCCAATGAACCAACTTGGGGAACTCCAGCATGAAACTGAGTGGTCTTAGAGGCTGGTGACTGCCCAAACCTGCACAAACCTTGGCTGCTCCGTGTTTGTCACTGTGATGGACAGCTTTGAGAGGCCAGCTGCCTGACCCTGTTCCAAGTCTTCCCATCACGTTCAGTGCTGTGATGGACAAGCTTTAAGGAGGTCCGTTTTTCTCCTGATATCTGGGCTGGGTTTTCCCCTATTAGCTGAGGCCCACCTCCTGTATCTTGAATAGCCTTCCTGGTATCCTCCCTCACCAGCTCAGGGTAGGCCTGAACTTTGCTTTCCACCGAGGGTTGTCTTGGCTGGCAGGCCCCAAGAGAGGGGGCTCTGTGTCTTTGGGCTCAACTTTGGGTTCTGTGTTTTAGGGATTTCTGAATCTCTGGTTTGTATCAATATCTGGTTACTTGTATGTCTCCATTGCATGGAGCTTAGGAACTTCAGTCTTAGGCATCCCAACAGACTGTTTCAGCCCCTAGATTCCACACCTGCTCAGCCCCACCCCAGTGCCTATGCCACATCTACCCCTTGGCCAAGAGAAGACATCTGGGTGGCAGTTGAAGGCTCTTCTCTCACCTGTAGGCTTTCTTGGAACTACCTCCTCGATGTGCCTGGCATGTTGGTGTGCACAGCTGAGTGAACCTTTCCTTGTCCCATCCCGTGTCCCATTCTGTTGGTACCCCCAATGCTGGCACATGCAGTGGCTGTTCTCCTGTTTGTCCACCAGTTATTGAGTGCTTCCTGTAAGTCAGGCATTGGCTGAGCTCTGAGGATACAGCAGGGAAGCCAACAGTAAGCGGCATGTCAGAAATTAAAATGTGTTGACAATGAGGTGACCATAGAAGACTGCTGAGGAAGACATTAGACTTGATCTGAGATGCCAGAAGGAGCCAATGATCCTAAGATTTGGTAGGAGAACTTTCCAGATAGAAGCAATAGCTTCCATAAGGTGGGGTGAGGTTGACAGTAGGCAAGCCTATTCTGTAACTATCTCGGGTTTGACTTTATCACCAAGCCACATCTCCAACTCCAATCCTTTTAAACTTTGTCCATGCTCATAGATGTGTGTGTCCTGGTAGTTCACGGTGGTTTTAATTTGTACTTTTCTAAGTTTGAAGGGTGTTGAGCATCTTTTCATGTGCTTTATTTGTATGTGGTGCTGAGAATCGAACCCAGCGCCTCACAAGTGTCAGGCAAGTGCTTTACCACTGAGCCACAGTCCCAGCTCCTTGGCTGTATATCTTATTTCATGAAGTGTCTGTTCAAATCTTTTGCCTGGAAAAATGACTTGTAGGCCCCTTGTGTGAAGGTACATGCTTGTAATCCCAGTGATTTAGGAGGCTGAGGCAGTAGGATCAAAAGTTTGAAGCCAGTCGCAGTGGTGCATGCCTGTAATCCCAGAAACTCGGGAGGCTGAGGTAGGAGGATGAGAGTTCGAAGCCAGCCTCAGCAGATTAGCAAGGAACTCAGCAACTCAGCGAGACCCTGTCTCTAAATAAAATATATAAAAGGTCTGGGGATGTGGCTCAGTAGTTAAGCGCCCCTGGGTATCAAAAAAAGAAAAAAAAGTTTGAGGCCAGCCTGAGCAATTTAGTGAGACCTTGTCTCAAAATAAAAAATAAAAAAGGGCTGGGAATGTAGAACATGCCTGGGTTCAATCCCCAGTATGAGGTATGTAGGGGGAGAGACAATTAGAAAAATGATTTGTCTTAATAATTTTTTTTGGTGATACTACAGATTGAACTCAGGTCCTTATACATGCTAGGCAAGCTCTCTGCCACTGAGCTGCAACCCCAGCCCATTTATTTTAAGACAGGATCTTAGTAAGTTGCTCAGGCTGGCCTTGAGCCACTTGTGTTTGTGGGACTACAGGTGGCTATTGGGCTACACTCTCAGTCCAGCTGGTTCCTAGTTTCCTTCCTTCTTTTCTTTTCCTTATTATTTTCTTTTACAGTACCGGGAATTGAACCCAGAGACACTCTACCACTGAGCTGCATCCCCAGCCCTTGTTTTTTATTTTTATTATTTTTTTTTAAAGAGAGAGAGAGAGAGAGAGAGAGAGAGAGAATTTTTTAATATTTATTTTTCAGTTCTTGGCGGACACAACATCTTTGTTTGTATGTGGTGCTGAGGATCGAACCCGGACCGCACGCATGCCAGGTGAGCGTGCTACTGCTTGAGCCTCATCCCCAGCCCTTTTATTTTTATTTAAAAAAATTTTTTTGGTACTGGTGATTGAACTCAAGGGCACTCGAACACTGAGCCGCATCCCTAGCCCTATTTTTTTTTTTTTAAGAGAGAGAGAGAGAGAGAAATTTTTTTAAAATTTATTTTTTAGTTTTCTGCGGATACAACATCTTTGTTTGTATGTGGTGTTGAGGATCGAACCTGGGCCACACGCATTCCGGGCGAGCGTGCTACTGCTTGAGCTACATCCCCAGCCCCTATTTTTTTTTTTTTAACACTTTAAAAAAAAATTTTTTTTTTATAGCTTTGTTTTATTTTACTTATGTGGTGCTGAGGATCGAACCTAGGGCCCTGCATGTGCGAGGCGAGCACTCTACCGCTGAGCCATAACCCCAGCCCCCCCAGCCCTATTTTGTATTTTATTTAGAGATAGGGTCTCACTGAGTTGCTTTAGCACTTTGCTGTTGCTGAGGCTGGCTTTGAACTGGAGACCCTCCTGCCTCAGTCTCCCTAGCTACTGGGATTATAGGCAGCTGCCCCTGTGCCTGGCTGTCTTTACTCTTTTTTGAAGTACTTTTACTTGGGGTTTCTCTATGTTGCCCAGGCTGGCCCTAAACTCCTGGGCTCAAAGTATCCTCTTGCCTCAGCCTCCCAAGCTGCTAGGATTACAGGCATACACTACCACGCCTGGCCAGTGTCCCAACTTCTGCACCCCACTAAGAATGTTGGGGTTCAGAGGAATCTGCTTGTGTGCATGTCTGTCTCTGTCTCTGTATATGTGCATATATGTATATATATGTGTGTGTGTGTGTATATATATTTTAGTTGTTGATGGACCTTTGTTTATTAATTTATATGTGGTGCTGAAAATCGAACCCACTGCCTCACTCATGCTAGGCAAGTGCTCTACCACTGAGGCACAACCTCAGCCTGGAATCTGCTCTTTTACACATCACAGGTCCCCTTTGTCATGTTCCTGATTTTTTAAAACTTTGTCATCCTATGTATTGTGTCCCTCTATGATTTCTTTTCCCAGTGACCTTGGGGGATATCTCTGCTCTGCCAGTCCCGACCTTTCTTCCATCCAGTTTATAGGAATTTGCTGAGTAATTGTGAACTGTCTTCCCTGGGATGTCCCCCTTGTTCTTGCCTTGTTTGGATGGGGTCTCAGACAATGTGGGCATTGTTGGTCATCTAGACTCCACAGGTCTCCTGTTCTAAGTCTGGGATATTCAAATACCTCTTGTGTCCACAGCTCCCAGGCCTGAACCATAAGCAGCAGCCCTGCTGCCAGATAGATGTCTTGACTGCTGCCCTATCTTGACTAGGCTCATTCTCTGAGGGGGAGTAAGTTTTGAGCCAGAGCAAACCCAGGGTTATAACGCTGTCTCCTTCAAAGCTCACTTTTGTGATTTTGGTTTTCTCACTGTTGTACTTGGCAGACCTTAGTTTCCAGATCTATATAGTGCGGGTCCCATGGGGCATTAGAGCCCCAAGGCTGAATGAGGCTGCTCAGTGGAGTGGTGCCTGTGGCCCTGGCTTCTACTAAATTTGTTTTGCAGGGGCTGCTGGAAGTCTTCCCTGTCTTGTTGTCTTTCTGGGAAGCTTGGCTTTTATCTTCAGTGCTCATTGAGTCTCTTTTTAAATGCAGATGTCTCTGGCTGCCTATCTGCTTTCATTTGGGCATGTCTTCTGACACTTTTCTGTGAGTTTATTAGATGTGTTTTGGAGTCATGTGGCAAAAGGAAAGGAAAATGAGAAGGGAGATTTAGAGCCTGCCCTGACTTCTGGGGAGATCCCCCCCCCCCCCCAGATTCTCCATTGCTGACAGATGCTGCTGGTAGAGCTCACAATGAGTCTGGTCAGACCCCCATGTGTTTCACGCATAGCTCTACCCCCAGGCCGGAGTGGGCTAGGAGAATGGCGTGCATAGATGTATGGATGGCGTGGGTCATCCTTCCTCACAGGGTGGTCAGCAGACAGTTGTTACTGAGCTAAATAACATTTCATTTTGTAGATCAAAAATAGTGGAAGCCCAGTGTGGTGGCTTAGCG